GGGGTCATGATGCTGCGTTGCACTTTTTGCAACAAAGTATTTCAGGGGAGCCAATTCCAGGCGACGAGGCATTTCACGCAGACGAACTACTGCAAGGCGACGAGGCTTTGTACGAGATCGCGCGACGGAGTCAACAGAAGTTCGAGAGCGATCAAATGGAGAGGGTTGCCAGGTACGCGGCGGAGCGCTGAGTCGATGTGCCTGGCACGGGTGGTGTGAGGGGAGGAGAGGCAGGGCGGCAGCCCGTGGAGGGAGCATCAGGAGGGGTCGGGGGAGATGGTGGAGGTGGAGACACGGAGGAGGGTGCGATCGACGTCGATCGCGAGGCACGTGTCCCGGGCGAGCAGGGAGTCCCGGGACATGAGGACGTGCCTGAGGTTTATCCAGGCACTGGGGAGTGGATGGAGGTCTTTTTGAGGCGAGCAGCCAAGGGACCTGTAGGGGAGGGTTCTTCCAAGAGGAAGGAAGGTGGAACAAATCCGCCCGCCGCCCCAGCTGGGAAGAGGCATCGCCAGCAGAAGGTCACTGACGTCTACGGTGGCGAGTGGGTTGCTTGCCACAAGAAGACATTCCTTCGCTGGCTCTATTCCAGCGGGGTCCCCTTCAATGCCTTCCGCAACCAGGCTTGGAAGGCATACCAGCAGGTCCTTCTTGAGAAGCCTGGCAGTTCCCCGCGCGCTGTGCTCCCCAGCCACAGCGAGATTGCGAGTATGCAGGCGGTGGAGACCCACCGTGAGGAGCTGGCGGAGGAGTTGGAGGAGGTGAGGCAGCCATTCTGGATCACTGCTGCCACCCTCCTCTCCGACGGGAGGAAATCACGAGACGGGAGACCGATCATGAATTTCCTTGCCGCCGGCTCGTGAGGGGTTGTCGTCTACACGACGATCAATCGCGAGGGCAAGCCTGATGATGCAGTGCACGTCCTTCGGAGATGGGTGACCATCTTCCACGAGTTCAGTTCCGGCGGTCCGCAGCGGGTCAATGCGATATGCACAGACTCCGCATCGGCGTACGTGGGGGCTGCGAGGGCATTGGCTTCGCTGGGCATCCCTCCTGCAATCAGGAGGATCACTTGGCTTCCCTGTTCCGTCCATGTCTGCAACAAATTATTGTCAGACATGGGGACGAGTTGCGACGCGTTTGTGGATGCGATTACACGCGCTCGTGTTCTGGTGGTGTTTTTCAAAACCCACCAGGCCGCCCTTTATTTCTTTAGGAAGCGCAGCCCCAACAAGGGGCTTGTGCTTTCTTGCGAGACGCGGTTCGCGTCTGTTTATTCTATGCTGGAGAGACTGTTAGCTTTGCAGGATGCTTTGCAGGCGATGATGCGAGGGGATGAGGGGCCGGAGTTTGTTTCTATACCGTGGTCCGCCGATGTGTGCGACATGGCGCATTGGGTGCGCCGGCAGATCAGATGGGAGCCTTGGTGGCACACGATGGCCACCATAGTCCACATCATGCAGCTTGTCATGGGGCTGCTTAGGCGGATGGATCGTGGGGGGCAGTACATGTCCCTCATGATCGAGTGGACACAGGATCTTGTCCGCCGTGTCACTGATGCATGCGCTCCTTTGGGGAGGGTTTTTGCTGACCGCATCATTAGGCGTGTGCAGGCTCGCACACAGCACATGCTGGAGCCTGCTCACTGTGCGGGGTTCTTACTGAACCCCCGCAGGCCACATGTTGAGTACTTTTCGGGCGAGGTGAGGGATTACCCTCGTTGGCTTGTAAGGCAAGCCAAGAGGTACATTTTGACGCAGACGGGTTACGAGGAGGATGGTGTGGAGTACATCATTGCATGTCGGCAGTTTGAGGACTTCCACATGCAGCAGGGCACATTTGGGGATTGGGGAGGGGGGGAGGGGCGTGCTCGTGGGCGTGCTTGCAGCGGCGACAGGGAGACGATTGAGTGCGCGTCCTTGTGGTCTCAGTACGGGTCTGGCGCACCTGAGTTGCAGCGCTGCGCTCTTCGTGTGATGCACATGTGGTCTTGCGCTTCTCCAGCGGAGAGGAACTGAGCAGTCCACGAGGGCATTCACACGAAGAAGCGCAACCAGTTGGCCTTTGAGAAGGTCATTTAGCTGGTTGAGATCACCGCGAATGTGCGGTTGTCGGAGTATCGGTGGGCTGGGTGCGGTTATGTGCTGCCATGGCAGCGGGACGAGGGCATGCTAGACTGCCAGGCCGGACTGGAGTTGGAGCCAGTGCGCACGGGCACGCGCAGGGGGATGACGCCGGAGGAGATTGCCCGTCAGGTTGCGCTTATCACCTGGGATCCCATCGGGGTCTCTGCACCACCCGCCGCTGAGGCCGTATTCGGTAGACGTGCTTCCATTTTCTGTCCTTACCCCAGGGAGGATGATTCCGACGAGGAGCCTGTACCCGAGTCAGCGGACCACCCCGCGCTCCGCATTCCCCGTGAGATCGACGAGACGCACCTGGACCTCGAGGAGGACACCAGGGCGCATACTGCACGACGGGCGGCTGACAGGGCGGAGAGGGAGATGATGGGGGGAGAGGAGTTGTGGGGACCGTTCGGGGAGGTTGCTTCGATGGGCGGCACAGGAGCGCGGGCGACGAGCCCCGCTCCGACGAGGCAGGAGTCGTCCATGCCGCCACCTTCTGCTCCGAGTCCTGCACCGCCATCGCCCGTCGCGCCATATGAGCCGACCACGGCAGCAGAGGACACAAAGGAGTTGGCGTCCTCTTTGCCTCAGCGCGGACTACTCCACAGAGGCGGGGCAGTCCGACAGCTGAGGTTACGATCACCTTCTCCGGGGGTCTTGCAGGAGGAGGGGGGACCGTCGGCAACAGCAGTGGAGGGGGAGATGGCAGTGGAGGGGGGATTGGCGGACACGACGATTGCAGGTGTGGTGGACCAGATAGCTGTAGCAGCAGCGGCTTCATTGCTAGAGGAGATGGCAGCTTCAGTGTTGGCGGAGGAGGCACCAGCACCAGGGGGAGCAGATGCAGTGGAGGGGCAGGCGGGAGCAGCTGGAGGAGCAGCGGGAGGAGCAGCTCGAGGAGCAGCTGGTGGAGCAGCTGCACTGGATGGGCTTGTGGCTGCAGCAGCAGGAGCAGCGAGACGAGGGTCGGATGCAGTGGAGGGGGGAATGCTAGGAGCAGTGGAGGAGGAGATAGGGGCACAGGCGGAGGTGTCGCGTGGGGGCGACGACGAGCGCCTCATGCAGCAGTTCCTCACGGAGCAGTACGATCCGGTCATGGCGGGTATGACCCCAGGTGTGGCGAGGGGGTTGGGGATGTCGGATTCACAGATGGGGAGCCACCTGGACTTAGATTTGTTGATGGGCCTTCCACCTAGTTGCGGCGGGGCGACATCGACGGATCGCTCTCCATCGAGGGACGACGCTGGAGAGAGTCTCACGCAGCCCCAGAGAGTGACGATGACTGCGTCTCCGGATGCGGCACGCGACATCCTAGAGCGAGAGAGGGCTCGACTTATGGCATCGACTAACTCGCGTGCTCAGGCATTTGCACGGGCGTTGGAAGACACGAGGCGTCGAGAGACAGGGGGGGATTGTGTGGAGGGTGGGGTCACTGGGGTGGTTGCGGGGGAGGATGTTGTGGAGGGGG